ATTTTCCTTGTTAGGTATTTACCAAGAAGAGCTTGAGGCACTGGGAAAAACAAACTTATATCTAACCGGACAAACAATAGAACAAATTTTTTGATATAATCTTAGATTAAAGGTACCAAACCGGGCATACTTTTTTGTTGTTTTTCTTTTGGCTAAGAAGCCCGTAGGTTGTACGCCAGCCATATGTAGCTTGAACTGTTTGATGGGCGGATATACTACTGTAGGATCTTCCGCAGTTTCTATTGTTATTGCTACCACTTGTCAATGGTATTCTATTTTAAGGCATGATAGCATTTGAGTTAAGTCACATTATAAGTCATTAATAAGAGTTAGGTATTCAATTTACAATCCCCTCATTTAGTACTATGGTCTAATAATATTCATCTTCACTTGTAAGTGAGAGGTCTTAGGTTCGATTATCATCAAATATGAGTTTAAACCACATTATCACTAACTCATTGTGAGGTTAAGCTCACCCCTCATCCTTAATGTAGATAATATTGCTTGTTCAAAACTAAATTTACAATTCACTTGTAGCTGCACATGGTGGGACACGCAGAAAAAGTAAGCCAAGGGCTGGCGAGCTGATTCTTTATGGCAGACTCTTATTATTCGTTGGGTGGAGACTGATTTTGCATATATTCAGGCTACAAGTACCGCACGGCCCCTAGCTGGAGATGAGTGCTACGTTATCATGTTACCTTTTTTTTTTATTATTTGTAAGTGGGTGGTCTAAGTTTTAAATTTCGTGGATGACGATTTCAATATTAATTTATCACTCTACCCTTAAGTGTGTAAGTATGTTATTGTAAATTAAAAATTAAAAAGTGATTCCAACTTAAATAGTTAAATGTCACTGACATCAAATTTGGTTCATGTACTAGTCTCTCATCCTATTATAGCCCATACGCGACTAGGGCTTTGGGTTGGTAGATAAAGGGCAATCCCAACTTATACAAAATGTCCTCGTTGAGCCTTTTCACCATTGCCATATGAGCCCGACCCAAATAATAAGCTTACACGAAGCAGGCTTCATATCCATTTCTAATGAAATTGAAAACAATTCTCCTCCCTCTTCTGTTGGGTGATCTTCTTTGAATTATGCGAAATTTATAAACGGAGCTAAATTTGGGACATGTTTAATAAGTTCAGCCTAGTTGTTTAGACGTCCGGAATTTTAACCACTCTAAGTACTGGTTTGGTACTGAGGTGCTTTTATAAAAAAATGAGTATAAAAAAAGCTGAGCTTAAAAAGGTGTTTGGTAAACACTTAAAAACAACTTATTTTCACAGTTTTGGGTAAAAAACAAAACTGAAAAAGTGAAGTAGCAAAAATAAGCTTATTCTCAGAAGCAGTTTTTTTTCAAAGCACAGCAATATCAAACCAGCCCTAAAGAGCTCGAGCATACAGAAGAAAAGTTCAAGCACTGCCCAAGGGGCTCTAGAACTGTTTGAGATGCCTCGAGTGGATATATTTCTAGACTTTACAAATGAAGCCTAAAAGTGTTTAATGTGTTAGTAAAAATGCTAGTTTTCCAATTTAGTTGTATTCTGATATTTGGTAAGGAGGGTAAAATACATCTGAGATCTCATTATTCAGTCTCAACCCTTTTAGGCTTTGATCAGCTTCTATTGGCTTAAAAAAAATTTCTTTAGGAAAAGACGCAAACATAATCATAATTAAGTTGCAAGATTTTCCTTGAGCCAAGCAGCAAACAACTTTTATTATCTTGTTTTCCTTGGTGGCTGAGAAAGAGAAACTTGTATTGGTCAAATCTAATGCTTTTGAAAACTGTCGCATATATGCAGCTTGCCGAGGAGAAAAGCGAGCTTACTAGCACATGTTGCATATACTGATATCTTTATCTCTCTCGTCAGATGGCGTGTGATGAGAGAGTTACAGAGTGAGGACATGCAACAGGTTTTATGGAAATTTCTCTCCGCAGCAAGGGCCAACGAGCTTTAGTCTTAGTGAGCAGCGACACACAATGCACTCCATCTAGTGTGTTTTATGTGTGTAACTTCCAATTGGAAAAGGGTTTTTGTTGGTGAGTCCCCCTTCTCTTTTTTGTAGGATTAAATGATTAAAAGGAACAAAAGGCATGCACTTTCAAGGAATTGGGTGGTTTTTTTTGCTTTGGTGGGATTGTGAATACTATGTGACACTACAACAAACATAAAAGATGAACCCACAAAAAGATAATGAGTCATCCAATCACTTGAGCACCACATCTTTAATCCTAAAGTATGACTGATTCAATTAGAGCTACCTGATTTGCTCATGTGTTTTTTATATGTGATACCAGATTATCATTTGTACCTTGTGCATTATTGTTATCTTGAATGATAATTGTACTTGTGAACTTGCTTTCTTTTTCTAAATTCTGCGGCCATCAACGACCCACAATCACAGCAGCCCCTACATTTCTATTTCTGTTTCCAGTACACTTTTGTTGGGAAAAGATTCCACTTCTTTCTCACTGCCTCTTTTTGTAGGGACTAGGAAGTCATCATGTCAAAGTTCAACTGTTTATTGTTATAACATTCTATCCTTGTGTATGGGAGATTATTGAGTGTAATCGGTTGTATACAACTTTGTGTTTGTCTCTTTCGTTTCGTGAGAAGAGAAATAGATATTTGATTGTACATAACTGATAACATAATAAATTTTCTTCTCATGCGTGTATTCATTTGCGTGATGATTTTTACTTTTTCCAAAACCTTGGAAGATGGAGATCTTGATTGAAATTTTAGACCGAAGTTAACTGTGTTACATGAAAGAAAAAACAGTTGGTCCCCAGAGAATGCAAGAACATGCCTAGAGATAATTGAAAAGGGGAAATGATTTTCAAACTTCCTTTTTCTCTCGCTATATTTATTCTTATTTTTTCTAATTTTTAGATTGAATAAATAAAAGGAGAATCAAGAGACAAAAATGGAGGCGCGAAAATCACTGCCATGAAAATCAAGTCTACTTGTGTAACCATAAAAAGAAAACGCATCTACATTCGTGAATTGCTCATGTTTGAATTTTAAACCAATTTGAATGCAGATGGAGTAATCTACTGAACATTTTTTTTTTTTTGAACTCATTTAATACATACACCATCATCATATATATATGAAAATCCCTTTTATATGCAAATAATTAATCAAACAAATATAAAATTCCCCCTGAATTATACCTTCCTATCTAATTTTCTTCAACATTTGGGCTTCTCTTCTGTGGCAATGGAGTTCTTGCAATGAGCAATTGCAGCTTGAATTGCAGCCTGCAACTCTTCCATGGTGCTGTCACTTGAAGAACAAGGAACATTAGTAGCTGCAGTTGCAACAAGATGCCCACTATTCGTCGGAGATGTCCTCATTGACGCCGGCGCCGAAAACTGTCCCCTCCTTCCTCTCAACTCATGTTTGTTTAACATGCTCAAATTCCCCGAAAACGAATAGGGCTGCCGCCGGAACTGCCCCTTCTCTCTCCTCCCTCTAAACAACAACAGCGGCCTCACCATTCTCACGTACCTCTTCAGTATGTGACTCACGTCAAACCTCACCTTCCTCTTGTTCTTCATCTCCTTGTTGTTCTCCTCCTTTTCGCTATTTTCACAATCTTTTCGCCATCTGGGAAGCCCGAAAATCGAAAAGGACTTGGGCTTTGTTCTTCCCCTGGTCTCGTGTTTGCTTCCCTGACGTGGGATTCTCTTGTCGATGCTGCTGCAGCTGTTGTTCTTCTTGTTTAGGATGTTTCGGTTTCGAATGCAGTTTTCGGCATTGGTTGTGGCGGTTTCTCTGGTTGGTTTTTGATCTTCTACCAGCTCTTTGAGGGGGAGGGTGAAGCTGTCGAGGGAGTTGGTGGAGGAGCGAGGAGAGACGGGGAGATGGGAGAGAAACTGGAGGGGGAGGAGGTGGCCGTGGAAGAATATTTCATCTGCGGGGGACAAATCAATGGCGAAAGAAGGTGGGGTGGTGCTGGTTTTGGATTTGGATTGGTGATTAGGGTTTGACGTGGAAGAAGAAGAAGTGTGGAGAGAGATTGTGAAGGAGAATTCATGGGAGGGGGAGGAGGAAGATGAAGGTGGTGAGGCAGGGGCAGTTTTTGGTAACTGTTTTAACCTTTCTTCTTCATGCCTGCTGAGGGTGTCTAGAGCAATTTCTTTGGTTTTTTCCAGCTGATGGGTGGCCATAACTCAAATGATTTTGTTGAAAAACTGAAACAAGGATCAAAACCCAATTTCTGATTATTTTTCTCTAAAAGAGTTTGGTTCTTTGAATAGTACCAAACCTTTGGGGGAGAGATAAGAAGATCAGGAAGCAGTGGAGAGAGAGGAGAGGAGAGAGAAAAAGAGTCTTGTCAGTCTTGTGCAGTTGGGCTTCCAATGTCTTTTATGCAGAATAATCCATACTGCCATGCATTATTAATTCTTTTTTTATGAATAATGGCTTATCGATGGAGAATACTTCACTCCTCCCTTTATAAGATAATTCTGTCATTGTCTAAATAAGTTTTGTATAAATTTTTAGATTAATATCATTAACTGTGATTTGCTGAAACGAGTAACGATTCATTTTTAGAACGAACCAAGCAATTTTCATTATATAATATAAATAATAGAATGGGATGAGATGATAAATTTAGCTGTATTTCTATAGGTTGGTGGGTCCTTGTCGAAATCTAACAGCTACTGAGGAGGATTTGAGAAATGAGGTCAGAAAGATCCAAATTTGCTCTAAAAAGGGAGATGGGAATGGCGAGGCAACACTTTGTTTTTGGTACAATTCTTTGTATTTAACTGTTTTGCCAGTGAGGACTGGTCCTCCATCCTCCTCTCATGTTCTCTCTCACGTACATGGTACACACCACACGATGAAAAATGCAAAACCCTAGCTAGCCAGGGTTTGTTACTGCCCCATATATCAAGAGAATCTTTGAGTTTATAAACCAAAGGCACTTATTTGCTCCTGCCTTTCGCTTTTAATTACTATGTGTACCACTACAAGTTACAACAACGTTGGGGAAGGTGTTGGTGTTTGAGATATTTAGTATATCTATGTATGTTGGTGTGTGATGTCAGATGTCACTCGTGGGAGTTGAAGGCCTTTTGATCGAGAAGATAAGATTTCAAACCAAGAAAAACACTAGATACATATTTTTGACGTAAATTTCCGCCGTTTCTTAGTTTTATGAAAATGTACTTGCAAAACAATCAATACATTTGAGTAAAGAACTAAGTTGAGGTTAGAGGGTTTGGTCAATTGATATATGATGCTTAAGTTGGTTTCTCTCAAAAGTGTATGTGCTTAGAACTTTTAGGGGTAGCAAAAGCTTTTGGTAGAGATAGATATATATAGGGAAGAGGGTTGGTCATGGTGTTATGGTTTTATCTTACATATGGCGGTATCCTATTAGCCAAGATGTACGAAGAGAATATTCTTAAGATATTAAATAGGAAATAATATCTTAAGATAATAGTATAAATATTCCTAATTGATTTAAGTAGGGCTTACTTGAATGAAGTCAATCTTCAATTGGGAAAATATTAAAGATTGGATTTGGATAATTAATCTTTATCTTTAATGCTTTGACTTTTCCTTGTCATAGGCAAGTGAGCTGTTATTCAGTCGCTTAGACCTTTAGGGTGTTGTGCTGCGCGTGGGAGCATCTAAGAAGCATTCCCATTTAATGAGGGCAATCTTGTTTTTCTTGAGCAAAAATCCACGTGTCGCCTCTAGAATTTTTGGGATTAGTTTAGACTCCACACGTATGGGTTGATTATTTGTTTTAGAATGAGATTGGGAAGGCAGAATAAAAGAAGATTTGGATTGAGTAATGTTACACTTATCACCTAATTGTATCATCATTTGTATCATCTCTCTAATAGAGATGAAACCCACATGCGTTAGCGGACCCTATCATTACCTAGTTGTACCATCATGTGGATCCTATCTCTATTAGAAAACTAGTATAAATAATGGTACAAATATATAATAAAAGTATCATTTTTGCTTTGGATTACATGATGTAACGTGCAACTCAGCATTTGTCGACTCCATATGCATTGATATTATTCGTAAGTAAGGAAGGTTAGGAATCAGATAACTTTAATACAAACGTTAAAAACTAAATTATTGAAGAATAAAATTCTAGAAACTTCACATAATAAATTATTACTTATATGAAATGGTTTTACTTTTAATCAAAATGATGTTTTTTTGTGATAAAATTCATCAACTGTTAGGTTGTGTTGGTAGTTAAGACAATATCAATGTGTTTAGTAATGGACAATTTTAAAATCTCGACATAAACATGCCAGCATCTCACTCACGAATGAGAAGACAGTGGTATGTTAAGCTCATTTTGTTCTTAGAACCAATATGTTGTAATCCTGAAGCACCACCCTCCCACAACGAAGGCTACCACTAGTCTTCGACTGAACGGGTAACTTTCCGTGTTTAGTTTAAATAAAATTTGTAAATATTAGGGTAATGTTATGGAGACTAAATTTATGGAGACTAATATGTTGTAATATTAGGGTAATGTTAGAACCAATATGTTGTAATATTAGGGTAATGTTATGGAGACTAAATTTGTAAATAAAATTTTGAAAACTAAATGACATAGAAGTTGATGATTAGACTATTACTTAAGTGTCACATCCCAGACTGGCTCTGCCGTAGCACGATATTGTCCGATTTGGGCTTACCATTCCCTCACAGTTTTGTTTCTGAGAACTCAGATGAGAACTCGCTTGACTTTGGAGTTCCGATGGAACCCGAAGCCGGTGAGTTCCCAAAAGGCATCGTGCTATAGGTAAGGGAACATGTACATATAAGGCACATCACCCCCTCTCCGTTGGTCGATGTGGGATGTTACAGTCCACCCCACTTAAAGGGAACCCGGCGTCCTTGCCGGCACATCTTCATCGAACAGCAGAGTGGCTCTGATACCATTCTGACACACCTCAACCCGGAAAGTCCACTTAGACTCCAAAATCAAGTTGTGTTGGCCAACATCTGGAGAGTGATGAAGCCATAAAGTGTAGTGTAGTGGAAAAAGAATGTGAATAAATTTAAACATAAAAGTGCCTAAACAAAAGAGTGCGCTGGTGAGCGGGATTGCACCCATCATCGACCAGCACAACTCGATTTCGGAGTCCAAGTGGACTTTCCGGGTCGAGGTGTGTCATTAAGCGTTGATAAACGTGCTCATTTTTATTGGTGACACATCATTTAGTTTGTAAATTTTGTTTATAAATTTTGTCTCCCTAGCATTACCTTTAATATTAACACATTGGTATTAAAATTATGGGTAAATTACATAGTAGCCCCTCAGGTTTGAGGTCTATTACAACATCTTTAAAACATTTCACTTTCATACGTCACGTACTATTTTATTTCAAAATAATACATCGGTTATATTTTCCATCCATTAATTTGTTAAGTGCTAACGTGGCTACCAAATGTGTGCCACGTGGCATAAAAATAATTTTTTAATTTTTTTTAAAACCTTAATCTTCTAAATTAAAAAAAAAAATCCAAATCTCATCACCCTACCCCCTCCCCCATACCTGAACCTTGAACAAAAAAAAAAAACCCGAAAACCCAATTCCCACCGACACACCCTCCCCCCCCCAAAAAAAAATCATTTTCCATCCGTCGTCCGCACCCATCCTCCACCTCCTCCGCGCACCCATCTTCCCATCTTACCGCCCCCCCCCCCCCAACCCGAGCCCAACTTGCAACCTAGAAAGAAGAGGAAAAAAAAACTCAGCGCACCCACCCTCACACGCATCCTCTTCCCTCCTCTACAAACCCCACTCCTTAAATCCACACGCATTGGGGAAGACAGGATCTGGGTTGTAGGGAAAGGGAGATGGGTTTTTTTTTTCTTTTCTTTTCTGGGTTGGAGGTAGTGGGTGCGAAGGAGGAGGTGGAGGATGGGGTGCACGGTGGGTTTGGGAAAGACGGGAGGGGGAAGAAAGGGGTGGGTTGCAAGGAAAGGGGGTCGGGGAAGATGAAGATGGGGTTTTTTTTTTTTTCTCTCCTCTTCTTCTTCTTCTTCTGGGTTGCAGGTTGGGTGGGTGGGGGTTGTGGGTTCAGCTTTTGTTTATGGTTTTTTTTTTTTTTAAATTTAGAAGATTCAGGTTTTTAAAAAAAAAATTATTATTTTTGCCACGTGGCACACATTTGGCAGCCACGTGGCACAAATATGGTAGCCACGTTAGCACTTAATGGATCAATAGATGAAAAATGTAACGGATGTATTATTTTGAAATAAAATAGTACGTGAGGTATGAAAGTAAAATGTTTTAAAGATGTTGTATAGGGTTGTAATAGATCTCAAACTTGAGGGATTACTATGTAATTTACCCTAAAATTATACTTAATTTTGACTTCTCATGCATTTACTAACACATTAAAAAATATGTGGGCATGATCAATAATCTAACACCTAAAAATTCAAGAATTAGATTAATGAGGATAAAAAAGGTAATCTATCTCAATCCTTCTCATTTTCTCCGTATTCTTCACTTTCTCCGCTCATAACTTTTTCATTTCAAGTAAGTATACGTGTTATAACTTCTCCTTGTTCAATTTATTCCTTTGTATTTTATATAACACCTCTCGTTTTCTATTGAGCGATGTGAAGCTTGGATTCAAGTTTCAAACCATCTTCTCGACGATTCTGATTCTTAAATCTTTTATTCCTCACAGGGTCATATCTTCATCACCTAATATGTCAAAGTTGTCTACTTCCAGTTGATACTGAGATCTTCATATTCGAGTCTCCATATATAAAACTATCTCATTGTCTAAAACAAGGTGCGTAGAGAGACAGAACAGTGGTCTTTGTTCACACGAATACCATAAAGAAAAAGCTAGACATATCATCTTTTTAATATTTTGTAAATCACATGATATAACTGTTGATTATTGGATTCGGCTATTACTCATTTAAAAAAGGAATTCAACCATCAATGACATCATGTGGTCTACAAAATATGATCTAAAAAGATAATCTATCTAACATCACTTGTACCATAAAAAATATAGGGGTGTGATATCCACACATCCCATTTTACTTCTCACACACCTTTTTAATTTTCGGCCGTCGGATCGGATGAATTGAAGAATATCAACAGACATAAATCATCAAGGGGTGTGTGAGAAGTAAAATAGGATATGTAAATAGCACATCCCAAAATATATATACATGTGTGATGTCAAAGAGTTCAAAATTTTAAACTATCTTTTATAAACCACGTAATGCGACAACAAATATATACACAATACATCTGTTAAAATGTCAAAAATAATTAAATGCAAATGATTGATGATTCAATGTCGCAGAGAGAAGGGCCCATGATATTTTGTCATAATTACGACTATGTTCTGGAATAAGATTAATTAACCATGAACAT